TTAATTTAAAATTGAAATTATTAGAAATAACTATTTATCACTGTATTTACACGTGTTTCTAATAATTCTTCCAAAGAGATTTCACCATGTCTTTACTGCAATTATCCATTGTGGAATACCGATCCCGATGTACTTTCATAGTATTTAAATATATTAAATTTGAGTTATGTTATATAGTTTCAAAGTGCAGCAGCATGAGCTCATAAACATTCATAAATGCTTATTGTCAAAATCCTGAATCTCTCAAAATTCAAAAGTTAAATTAAACCGTCCGGGGTATTTTTTGCAAAGTTGGTCAAAGGTCAAGGTCAAGTGGATTGCCAATACTGGTATTTTCATATTGTCTTATGACAAAACAGTGCACTTGCTAAATAGCATAGACTTACCTCTTAAATGTCAAAAATATGCTGTATATCGGCACTATAAACTTTTTTGAAAAGTAGGTCATAGGTCAAGGGTCACAAGGTCGGTAAGCATGGTAATTTACAAAAGCCATAGTACCAAGCAATATATGTGCAAAATATTAAATCCATACCTCTTAACAGCTAGTTCTCGAGATGGGGGTGTGACAGACGGACAGCTAGATAGACAGCTAGAAAGACGCCGGGTAAAGTAATCCCTTAGTGCCCCTTTGCTCTGCAGGCAACACAAAAATATCAAAAGTTTACAGAATGAGATAAACAATTGCAAATTTTTAGTCAGAAAAGTTATCTTTTTCCTGCAGATTAAGGGGGCAAAAACTTCAATTTCACCATAAGAAGCAATTGTTTAAAAAATTTAATAAAACTTTGAGAGTCTTTGCTGTTACTATGGAGTAGTATTCTCTTCATAGAGACGTGGCTTATTCACATGACATATATCAGTATATGTAATAATTTGAGTTTTAGAAATAATTAAGCAGATCAGATTTTACTCTGGAAAAAAGTCCATTTTAAATTCGAAACAAATGGTATATGGTGTATTCTACATATTTTTTTTTAAAAATTTTTCCAATTACCCAGCTATAGTTAACAAAAAAAAAAATTAAACTAAATAATGATAAAAGAAGATGGTAGTTTTAGATAGACATATACCAGATATACAGCTTGAAGCACTTGACGGGTCCAACACAATCTCCTGATTATTAAAGCTTAATTTAGCTATACAGGTATATACATGTACGATTTATAAGCTAATCAAAATAAATCCAGATATTTTGCTATACCTGCTTGATATACACATTTTCACAATTATATAACATAATTTGATAATCTTACAAATTTTGATTCTTTTCGTTTAAGTTCTATAAAATGCTATTTGAAATTAAAATCGAAAATTAAGATAGTGGGGGTACCGTATTTTACAAAACAAATGAAATCCTGAATTGGTAAGTGAATGACCTTGACATTATACCTATAACTAGCTGGTAACAAAGTTAGGAGGTTTAACATACCTCCTCAAGCACATATTTATTTAGCAGTGTTTAGTTTGAAACTTTGAGACAAAACTCAGTTCTTCCTTGTCTAGTATACTGAAACATTCATACACAAACATGTCTCTTAAAAATTCCGAGAGGTCAATAAGTATGAGTATTTGGGTGACTTCACTATTGTACCGATCCAATCTTTACATGCTACACTCCTTTCTGTTATATTCCTTTATGTTAGAGTATTTTTTGAGCTGATATACATATAGAAAAAAACTAACTTTAGTTTTACAAGTAGTTCTTGTCTTTAGTCACTCCCTGGAATGACTGTTCGTCTAACTTTATTACATACATGTATAAAAATGAATCCCGTTAGTTATTAAAACCTACCTCCATTTCACAGTGTTTCAGTTTGAGTAAATTTCCAGAGCAAAAACATGTATTTTATTTATGATACAATGTACATACACAAAACAAACCTTACCTTTACAAGTACTTTATGTCCTCAGAATCATGGAGTTTTCCGGAAGAGATAGACTGTCCAGTGCCCACCTGTGACCATGTCCATGAGAATAACTTATAACACTGAATTCTATTCAAGGTACCGGAAGTTATCAAACTATGACTGTCGCACAGACACACAGAGCTAAATCTGAATTTAAAAAGTAAATTTCACGCTAATAATGGTAATAATCAGGTCCTCAGGAAGACATTTCATTGAGGGGAGGGGGTAGGGTGCAAAAACCAAACATTTTCAGTTTGGGTGGACACTACCAAGCAAAAATTCCTTGACCAGTTGACAAGCAAAAATTATCATATGGCCATGAATAATAATTGTCGTGATAATATATGAGTAGCTACATTTTTTCTTAAAGGAAGAGAATTATGACCTATATATTTTCGTAATTTAGAGAGAGAGAGAGAGAGAGAGAGATTTAAGTTGAAGCTACAGAGTATACCGTTTGATGTCAATACTGTCAGAGTATTCAAGAACTATCTTCTGTAAGAACTCAATCATGCGCATGTATGCAACAGTGCAATGCTTTAAAATCAAATGCCTGAATAAATACAAACATTATACATGTACATCGCGAGAAAACGTGTCGAACGCAATTCACCCTGGACTTCAACAATGGATCGACGTAGCAATTAACATGTCGAGAATAATGCACCCTATAGTAAACTCCATTTATCGAAAAAACCCATAGCATACTCCATTTGTTGAAAGTAAAATCACAGAAAAAGATAACGTGCTCAACTATTACGTATAATCCAGAAGATTGGTATTAATTCCCGTTACAGTGAATTAGTCCGTGCTTATCAAAAGCGCTGAAGCATGCCTAGTCCGTGCTATCAGCTTACTTTGATCGGGGAAAATGTCAAAATGGAAATTTTTCAGGCATCGATGAATCAAACAGAGTCACCGATCGAGAAATTAAAGTACAGGTAGGTCACGTCCTCTCTTCAATTGTTTTCTTCAAAAATTTTGATGTAGCAATAACCACCGTCTATGCATCAAAATTACCTAATGCGTGCAATATTTAAAAGTTAAAAATATAGATAAACGTGCATTTTATACCATATTATCCCCTTAAAAGCTCAAAAAGTGGAGCTTCCGGTCAGTTCCGGGAGAAACCCCCCCCCCTCCCTTTCGACCACATTATTTTCACATTTGATTTAGTAAGGCTCCACATTTTTTTTTAGCGGAAATTCGTTTGATCATTCCAACAAAAAAAATTGTGGTAAAACTTAAGATTTTATATAAGCCTTAATTTTCTCTTCATTGTAAATTGTGGAAAACTTACAAACTGTACAAAATACACGAGATTCTCGTCTCTGGTCCCTATTATTCATGAAAATTACACATACATGCTTTATTTCTAGTGCGTGATCTTTTTGAAACCAAAATTAATGCAATTGACGAGGGCCAAGGGTAGTAATCGCAGCTATGGAGAGAGCATAGAAAATGCGTTTAAAAATTATTAACAAGGAAAAAAAATCATTTTTAATTACATTGTTTTTTAATTAGGAAAATATCTTTGATAAACCAGCCAATATATATATATATATATATATATATATATATATATATATATATATATATATATATATATATATATATATATATATATATATATATATATATATATATACTGAAGCTTATTAATTACATGTAACCTCTAGGACATGACTTTCTCCATATAATAGTTAGTTACCGCATTTGAACAAAGTTCTTTTCAGGACGTTTACAGTGAAAAAATTTGCAATTTTAAGTTATTGCCATTCTAACATTTGGATTTTTACATGTATGTGGAGGCGGCCTTATAAATTCAAAGTCTAATGTTATTTAAAGGTTTATTTTTTTTTTCTAAATATATAAACTACATGTAGTTGACTACAAATTATCTGAAGAAAGAGAAAGAAAAAATAAATGGCATGAGAACAAACAAACAAATCGATTCTTGGAGCATATTTAAAGTTAAATAAAAAATATCACATTAATTTTTTTTTTTGGAAATTACACAGAATTCAAACTTATCAAAGTAAACCGAATGAGATGTAGATCGGGAATTCATGAAAGAAACTGAGAGCTTAATTTCCAAGTTACAGGTATTTCAAAAACACCCAACCAACCACAGAGAGAGAGAGAGAGAGAGAGAGAGAGAGAGAGAAATAATTGAATAATTGGCTCTACAAGAAGTACTGAACATTGAACGCCATAAATACTCGGGTTGATGAGATTTGATGACAAAAGCACGTGTATCTCAAAACTTAAAGCTATAGGAAAAAAGATAAATCAACTCTTTATGTCGACTAAGTTCAATAAATGTTGACTTTTAACTCCTTTATTATGTTTTAAAGTTTTATGTTTAAAGGCAGAAATATCGATAATGAATTATCATTGATTTGCACGTTCCGTTAAGCTACACTTAAATGACACCACGAGAGTGTATCAGCCTTCGCCATTGTAAAAAAAAAATGTCTTCTTTCGCTAGAGAGGTACGTACTGAAAATTATCTTGAATGATTTAAATATGTCAAATATATTTCAGTGCTTATATTTCAGTGATGAAAAATATAAATGCATTATTCCCGAACTACTAAGATCGAAGATTAAGTAATTAATTAATTTAATTTTTAAACCCCCTTTTTTGGTATATATGTCTTTAAAAATATCCATCAACACATAATTTCAAGGTAAGGGCATGATTAATTTACTTGTACACATATTACATTTACAATTTGAAAATAACAAAATATTGCACTAAATGTAAGCCTAGGGGTCTGAATTTTTCAAGATAGGGTAGGGTACTAGTGGTCATATACCATTCTGTGAAATTAATCTCAAGTTTCGGAGATCCGTCCCACGAGTTTTTAATACATGTAATATAAATGGCAAAATTTGAGTGTGTCAGTGTTGTATTAAAGCATATCATGAAAATATTTAAAATAAAATATACTATGAATATGGTTTTCAATATTAAACTTTTGACTTGTCTTGTAATGAAAAAAAAATCCGTGATTTATAAACAAAATTGTATCAAAAATTATTTAACTCTGAATTTTTTTCATTATTAACCAACCATTGAAGAAATCCATGGTATCGGAAAAGCCTCCTAGCCGGGCACTAAGCAGTGCTAATAGTACCCTACACCGATCCCGCCAGCGGGCAGACATCGACCCGGAAACGGAAGAGGAGTTGTTGTTCCTGTCCCGACCCGTCACTCACGAGGACCCCCTCAGGGACGACCCCCTCAAAGAGGACCCTGAAAACTTTAGGTTGGAACTAAGTAAGGAACACGGCTTTAAATTTTTACTCATATGACGTTATTTTGTTCCCCTTATTACTGCAATTTCAGTTTGCGAGGTGGGGGAGGGGGGGGGGGGGTTAAAACTAACAAATTCAACTGGGGCACAACCTTTCAAAAAAAAAAATCAGGCCTTATTATTGAGAGGACACAACCCTAAGTTAGCTTCATTTCCTAGCGTATAGTATATCCTGGATTTTTTTTTTTTTTTGGGGGGGGGGGGTTACATCACATGCCCGTCTTCCGGTTCCTACGGGTCGGGACTGCATGTACATCTTTATAGGTGAGAATGGTGTTGCAGAAGTTGGAAAATAACTGAGTTGTTATGTTTTTAAAGTAATTATGTTATATTAGTCATAATAGTAGCTGTTGTGGTTAGTATGTATAAAAGTCCCTCTGTTCACCAATATAAAATTTTGCTTTAACGCTTACGATTTTCCAAAAGAAATTCAATTCATGATTAAATTGCACATAATTTCAACTTACCTTGCCGAGCAAAATTTGACAGAAACGACCTTTTAATTTGACAATGCACAGGCCTTCAATATTTTTTTTTATACATGTCGGTCAGATCAAAGCGATCTGAAGGCCTGCGGACAATGTTATAAATTAAAGAATAATTTCAGTGAGAGTTATCTCTCTTATATTACATGTATCAAAGGGTTGATGAAACCTTAATAGCAAACATACACGTATACAGTGCCTCGTTTTTAATGACCACAAAAAACCCTATATGCATAAAATTAATAAACAATAAATTGATCAATTTTAGCCCCTGTTCGAGCTTTGGAGCCTCATGAGGTCAGACAGGAGATCTATAGACGAGAATGTAGGAAACTGAACGTGATTCCGCTCAGCAGTTACCTCAGAAACCCCATCAGGAATGTGTTGGTGGTACCTCATAGCGGACTGGGCCCAAGAGGCGCCATGGCGCTGGCGGCGCCACTAATGGTAAAGTATTGTCTGTTTGACATATACACTTCATACAGTAGAAATCTGAAATACTATATCATATATTCTATATTAAAAGAAAGCTACTTTATTTCTGTATTACCAAATGCATGGCATGTAGGAACCAAAAGGAAGGGGGGGGGGACTGCTTGTCAAGAAATTTTTGGTAGTTGATAGTACCCCCCCCCCAACTGAAAATGTATAGTTGTGCCCCCTCCCCCAAATTGAAATTGCTTCCTACGAGCCTGATATGTATTCATATGAGAAATATCGACAGACTGGTCTCTCTAACATTGATCTATTGAGACCATCCATGCCCTGTATCATTACATGTAATATACATTGTAAATTGAACAAGGTATTCCATATTCTTTTGTGCTTGTTTTTTATTACAATTCATGTAATCCCCATACTTACAGTTGGACCACAATATAGTTTATCTGGACATCGCAGGAAACAATATCGGACCGCTGGGTCTAGAACATATGGTGGAAGCATTTCTAGAGACGTTATCTATCACACACTTGGTAAGGTTGGTTTTAAAATTGTCCATTGTATTTTTCAAATTTCAAAAAGTCAAACGAGGACTCTCTAATATGTGTGCACATGTCATGAAGTGGTCGGGGCATATACATGTAGTGCTACCCCTTTCCGTCCACCATTCAGTAATACATGTACTTAGTTTTCCAGAATTATTTTGCTGTGCTCGTAGATAATGAACTCATTTTTGGTAGGTGTTTTTATATTGATGACTTACAAAGCAACTATGAGTTTCAGGTCGATTGACCCATTTTCTAAAAAAATTATTGCACTTAGATTTTGAAAATTTCTTATTATTCAGAGATTTTGGGACTTTTTTTAATGTGTTTGAAGTTGATCACTATTTTACGCATCTAAAGTATGCCGTGGTATTCATAATTCAAGAAAACAAAAGCAGCAATGTGATATTTTATTTTTATCTAATACTTTCAAATATTAAAAAAAAAACTGTTCAGCGGGGGCATTCGTGTCACATTGACACATCTAGTTATTTTACAGAATCTATCGGATAATGAGCTAGGCAGCGATGGAGCTAAAACTATTTGCAACACCATAAGTAAACAGTCTATATTTGAGTGCTTGGAATTGTCCAGTAAGTTTTCTTGACACAATCTTAATTTGTTCATGCAGTCTTGCTCTTTTGTCAACTATGGGTATCATTCAGGATTTTGTATTTGATTGGTCCTCAGATAACGGATTCAAAGATGAAGATTCGATTTTATTTGCTGATGCCATTGAGGTTAGATAGTTGACAATTGCCATGATAAAATTCCTTGTATTCATGAATATAGATCAAGGAAACAAATGCAGTTCATAACTTTTTTCTATATTTATAGAAGTCTAAGAGTTTACGAGAAGTCATTCTGTCTCACAATCACTTTGCAGAGAAGGCTGGATTTGAATTCGGAAGAGCTCTAGGTCTTTAACCTTAACATCCATATTTAGTTCCGTATATTTAAGAATTAAGAAAATTGTGTTCCTAAATTGCGAAAAGAAATTCACCAACATAAATTGTATAATGTTAAAATTAAACGTAATTTGATTTCTAGCAAACAACGACAGACTTGAAGCCTTTGATATCAGTTGGAATCACATTAATGGAAGGTCTGCCGAAGCTTTTGCAAAAGGTGTAAAGGTACATCCAGATTTATTTTCCACTCCATATCTTTATTCATACGTAAAGAAGTTCCATATTGATCATGATGGACCATTTTGATGAATTTCTCTTCAATTTTCATGATACAGAAGAATGTTGGGTTGAAGCGACTTGACATAAGTTTTAACGGGTTCGGACCAAATGGTTGTAAGGCATTGGCTGCAGCGCTGTTGAAGAATCGGACCTTGCAGGAATTGGACATGTCCCACAACAGAATGGTGGACGAGGATATAGCGGTCCTAGCAGGAAGTCTGATGTCCAACGATACCCTTAAGAGTCTTGTGGTGTGTGAATATCCCGTAAAACGGGTTATTTGTATTTGAGCGACTGGCAAATTTTGTGATTTTATTCAAAAAGCAATCTCTTAGCAGCATTTACAATTTATATTTTAGAGATTTTAGGAAAAACTCTATTTATTTTCTCAGAAAAATTGAATGTTTGTGATTAAATTGTCAGCGATACTTATTTTTACCGTTGCTAGGACCATCGATTTCCCTAATAATGCCAATATTCCCGTAATGACACGGCACTTCTTCATTGGCTGTTTATTCTGTTATTTTAACATGACTGTCACTGTAAGAATTAGAGGAAGTAAAAAAAAAAAACAACAAACAAATGTTGCTTTCATCTAAAGCTATGGTCCCGTACCAGTAAAACTTTGTTGCATTCTGAAACAGCCAAATTTTAGATGAGTATAAGTGAGAAATATGCTTTTCTAAGTGAATACCTAGTACGTACATCCGATACATGTACGTATGGAACGCCAAATTAACATAATATTCAAATATTTTCAACCTATCTTCAAATAATTGTACTTATCTTCAAATAATTGAACCAAACTCCAAATGAATTGAAGAGAGGTACAATTGAATTAAAGATAGGTCTAATTGAATTAAAGATAGCTGTAAATAATTATACCCATCTCTAAATAATGAAACCTAGGTTTAAATAAATTACACCCATCTTTAATGGAATTACACCTATATATCTTCAATTCAATTAAAGATATAGGTTCAATTGAATTATACATGTACCTATCTTCAATTCATTTGAAGATATGTACAATTGATTTAAAATTATACAATTGATTTAAAGATAGGTACAGTTGAAACATATCCACAAATTAAAGGATTTGAAGATAGGTACAATTCAATTATACTTAGGTTCAATTCATTTTGTGTTATTGAAAATAAAGCTCCCTCTAACAGCGACTTGAACATGGAGGGAACCGAACAAAGCATTTTTATCGGGAGTAGTTGTTATTGTCAGTATCATTATAATTAAAGATAGGTTCAATTCAATTGCACCTACATGTATCTTTAAATCAATTATACATATCTTTAATTCGTGGCATTTGAATTATCTTCAAATCAATTGTAACTATCTTCAGATCAATTGTACCTATCTTCAAATGAATTCAAGATAGGAATAATTGAATTAAACCTATCTTTAATTCATTTAGAGATAGGTACAATTGATTTGAAGATAGGTACAATTGATTTGAAGATATGTATAATTAATTGATTGAAGATAGGTTCAAATATTTGAATATATGTTACATGTAAATTGGCGTTCCATACTATGAAGATACGCAACAATACTGCTTTATGATGAATAGCATTGCATTTCTGCGTAAATACAGGGTACAACGCTATCTAGGCTTTACAGATTAATTGCTCCACGATGATATGCATCAGAGTTATGAAACCGTCAAGGCTTAATGAAGACAACAACCTCAATGTTGTGAAACTGTCAATGCTAAAATAAGACCTCGCTGATTTGTTTTTTTCGTGACAGGTGGGGGATAATCTTTTGACGCATGAGTCTTCTCTTCACATTCTGAGAAGTATAGAAGATCCCAAATCAGTCACTGTTCTTGAAAAAGTTGACCTCAAGGTACAATTAAAAAAAAGGAAAAATATTTCAAATTCCAAATATTTAAAAAAATTATACTTACTATTCTGTGGACCATTTCATGAAATAAATCTTATGTTAAACAGAATGTCTGTGTAGATCAGGAATTTGTGCATCTCCTCAACGAAGTAAAGGAAATCAAATCCATAGAAATAAAACATGGCAGGATCATGCAAGTTGGGAAACCAAGAAGACGAAGAAGGCGAAGAAAACCGAAGCTGAAGCCCGAGGTTCAAACAGAGAAAACCGACCTTTCTACTAAAGAGTCGCCAGCTGAACATGACAAAGCACAAGAGAATGCGTCAAACGAAGCAGTGAATAAACTCATTACAGACATTCATTTGACTGATAAAGACAGTGTTGGTCACATAAAGGACGAAAGAAAAATGGAACAAATACCTCCCCTTGCACCACCCCCAGGAGGAATAGTCAGGGAGTCCATGATTCTGGGACCGGAAGTGGTCAACAAAAAAGTCAGCTAGAATTCGAAATAAACATTTCGGTCACCTCCTTTTTTATTTGTTGATTATGTAAGGAATCTTGTTGATTAAGCAATAGATGGAAAGAGAGACTGTACTTTTGAAAGTAAATATTCTCGTTCATTTTTCAATCAATAGGTGTAAAAAAAAGTAAGAGTAATCCTGTACAAAGAGAGATATTCCTGACTACCTTAAAGTTGCAAGTCTATTACTTCTGCTCCTTCACAGATAATATACATTTGCATTTAATTCTTCAAGAATTACTGGTTTTCTGAAACGATGTCGTAAACATGTATTTATTTATTTATTTTAAAAAAATCACATGTATCAAAATATATAAGAACATACATAGATTAGCCTTTTATTAGATCTCATGTGAATGTTACGTACAAGAAAACAAGATCTATCTTAGAAAAATAATGTACGCCATTTGATATTGTTAAATTTCATCAAAGAATTGAATTAAAGCACGTTAAATTGCTCTCTCAAAGTAATTTGTATTTATCTTTCATCATTATATCTCTGTACGTGTGTGAATGGATATCATTCTAACCAAAAAATCTATAAATGGCCCAGATTAAAAAAAAACCCACTGTGATCCAAAGTTAAGCTTAATGTCAGTAATGTTGGTGCACCACATCCTGTGGTGTTTTGTACCGGTACTACAGTCATACAAATATCAATTGTGTCTCTTTGAATTATTATATAAATATTCCTACATGTACATGTATAAACATCATCCTCATATAAAATCATGTATTTTGCCTTAGTATTGATAGGTCGTATCGCATGTGTCGAATGACTGAACGAAAAAATCTGTTTAAAGTGATTAATATATCATGTATATCAAATAATATATTCATGGGAAAAGATGAAAAAAAGTTTTGACACGTTTATACATTGCCTAACATGATAAAAAGTCAATGCTATTGAATCCAGTCTTCAAAATGTAAAATCGTAAAAGTTTGTATACTTTGACACAGAAATCATATACAAATGTGCTTAACGATATACAACAACTAACACAAGGCCAAGATGTAAAATAAACATGTGAAAGACTATATAGGTCTTCTTTTCTATATCTGTCAGATCTAGTTATTCTCATTTTAGTTACAACTTTCTTCCTTAACATTTATGGCTTACGCGTGCTTCGTTAACTTGAGTATGTTATACCAAATTTAGTGCTAACTTAACGTTGTTGTACTGTACGTCTTTCGTAAGATCGTTGAGGTTACTGTGATTGTCGTCTTTTGATTTATGGAAGGAAAGTGATGGCGGCACTGCCTCTTCCGGTTTTTGCTGAGTCTCCGCGTACATGTCCTGCTTGTTCCTGCTCAGTTGGACATCTTCTTCTTCGTTATAGTTCGGCATTGGAAGTCTGGCTCGAAAAGGAAACGGAATATCCTCTTGCTGACTTTCCTCGGCAGAGTTGTTCTGGTCCACAGTGGGTTCCGAGTTTTCGGACTCCGATTCTGATTCTGATGACGAAGATGATCTAATGGAGTCTTTGTTCCCGTTTTCAATTTTTCTGATCAGCCAGTACATGCTGTTTTTGCCCTAAAATAAAGTTTTGCATATATATGAATGTGAAATCAGTGTTGTTGCTTCATGAGGAGCATGCATTGTTGCTGTATAAAGTTTTCCAACAGGAGAAAATCGAAAAACCGACCTTTTTTAAACTGTAGGCTCTTGGATCTTACCTGTTTGTTTCTCTTTTTCAAGATGTAGTTCCCAGTCCTCTCTAGCGCTGTATAGGTTCCATGGCTAATATTTATTCTGTTCGCTAGAAAATTATTCAACATTTAAAAATTTAAAGTTGAAACAAAACACACACACAAATCGAACAAGTCCTCATAAAATATTTGCTCACCCGTGCTGTAGAACATCATTCTTGCTGCGTTGTTAACCGTTTCACCAACCACACAGTAACGCGGCATCACGGTATTGACAATACCTGCCACACAAGGCCCTAAAACAAAATCCTACCGTCATCGAAGGTTCAAGCAAAACTATTGGGCATCGGAAATGCTATGTTTATTTTTTTACATACCTGAGTTAATCCCAATCCTGACTTGAACAATGCGATCCTCGTTTACGATGAACTGCCGTTTACTGATCAAGTCGATTAACTGGAGAGCGAAATTTGCAACTTCTGTCACGTGGTACTTATTTCTGTCAGGTAGCCCTGAAGAAGAGAAACCAAAAAAATTAATGAAATGGAACCTTATTTTTCCTTCGTATGCAGTTAAAACAGAATGTGAAGAAAGTTTAAATACAAACCTGATAAAGCCATGTAACAATCATTAAGAGTTTCTAATTTGTACATATTATAGGACTCCGACAGTTTATCAATGGCTTCGTATAGGGTATTCAGCAAATCGACAATCTGCAGTGCCGAACATTCTAATGACATCTTATAGAAGCCACACACATCAGAGGCCATAACTGTGACTACTTTGAAGTATTCGGGTTTGATGTTCTTGCTATGTTTAACTTGGTCGGCAATAGGTTTTGGTATCATCTGATATAGAAGAGAGTCAGTTCTCGCTTTTTCTCTTGCCAACTCTTTCGTCTTATCAATCAAGGTTAGAGCATATTTATGGAAAACGGATGTGACGTACTCAGTCATATAGATGACAAATGGACACATTAGGATGACCACCACGAGAAGAGTGGCACTAACGGCTAAATCAGTCTGGACTTTTTCAATTACGGTATCAAGAATCGCCAGAATTTCCTCTCCAAGATCTTGTTGAACATCAAGTAAGGTATCGAGATACATTGTCATATTATCAAACCACCAACGAGCTTTCTGCATTTCCGGTAAAGTGTTATTGCCGTCTTTTACATTGTGTAAGATTTCTGATCGAAAAGAATCTATAATGTCTGTTAAGTTATTTCCGGCCTCGCTTACAACATACGAGTACAATAACCGAACACGATCGGAATACAACTGAGCAGTCTTGTAATACGCCCGGAAGTTGTGTACCCTACTGTAATACATCTGGTAGTAAAAATGGTTCTCAAATCCTCCATTGGCATAGAACATAGTCCCTAAAGCCCTTTCCACTCCTACGTCTTCCTTTGCACTCGTCAACTTCTGATATGCAACGAGTGTTTTCCATACGACGGCAAATTTCGATTCGTTAATCGAGTCGTACAACCAAACGATGACAACTTTGATGATGCGAGTGTAGAAGTCGATTTCATCTTGAATGTACACCTCGGAAGGAGTCAGAGATTGTCGTCTACGGTTAAGATGTTGAACCAAATTGGCGCGTGTTGAAAACTCCGTCCTGTCGAGTTTATCCAAGTTTCCAGGCCAAACCGGAAGTCTTGTTATCGCCTTGTCAGTTGCAATGTACTCTGCCAGAAGAAAAGTTTTGGTTTCTGGACGAAGAGCGCTAAGGTATAAAACACTCATATCCCGTTCCTTCTGCAAGTGGTGGACCAGCTTTCCAAGTTCGACACTGTATACCAAAGCTTTCCTGGTCTTTTCATAAAAAAGAAAGGTATGATTACAAATGAAGACAAATAAAAAAATATTTCCTGTTTTGATTTTGAACTCTCGAAGGAATGATTCAAACTTGAACATAACTTATTTTTTCCTTAAGTAGAGTATATATACAAGCAACAAATGTACGTGTATTTAATTTTTGAAATGCTAGTTTCTTCATTGCATAGTGAATGTAGGTTGTACTGATTAGTGCATAAACCAAATCGTTTGGTCAACTCACTGCCTCGTTTTCGCTTTTGAGTGATATGGTGTCTGAAAGCATATACACACTGTAAGACCACACGCCTAGTACTGGTAGTACGGTCAGACATAACATCTTAATCAGCTGAATCTTCTTGTCCGAATCCGTCAACGGCGGGGCGTTACAGCAGATACCTTCAGTTGAAGAAAATAAAATAAAATGTTATTTTTCCACAACATGTTGAAGTGTTATTTTTAAAAAGTTGAAGATTTCAGTTAAATATACCTCGACTAAATGCAGTATGTTTGCTTGGGTTATCTATTTCTGGTAAGAACACCATCTTTCCTGCATCGTCATCAACATATATATTTCTCGCCTTCGGCGTCGCCATGATCGCCTTCGGCGATACTTTAGATTTATCGCTGCTCATCTACAATAAAAAGACTTTACACCTAAAAATATGAACGTGAAAAAATAATTGTAAATTCACTTCATTCTAAAATGAATGACAGCTTTTGCCGAAGTTAAACTATTTACCATTTTTAATTTCTTATAAAGGTAAACATTTGTTTTGAAGATCGATGGCGTTGTATACTCATTTTTTCAATACGAATTTATAATTATGTAGTGTAGATCGAACATATAATGCTGTTATAATATTTTTTGCTATTGCTTTCTGCTTAAAAAATCAAAGCAATGCAGTTTTAATGAAAAAATGTTATAATCGAGATTTGACATTATACGGTAATAAGATACGTCTATTCGGATTGGGTGAAAGTCATTTAATAAGAGGTAATGAATATATTTAAGTCAACGATCTTTTTGTACAGCTGTACATGTGTCATTTTACATTTCCATGCACTGTAACAATTAAGACAAAAGGTAATCATTTTAATGAAGAAACAGAACATTTTAAAATTATATATTAAAAGGATTTACTTCTTAAAATTTCTATTCGTAAATATTATACATTCTGCTTTGTTCTCGTACAAAACATAATATGAAATGTAATCATTGTATTTTTACATATTGATTGTAAGTAAATATTGCTCTATAACTTCGCAACCAATCAACAATTAATGGAAAATAATTCTTAAAATTTTATAAATTGGTCGATCAAAGAGAGAGAGAGAGAGAGAGAGAGAGAGAGAGAGAGAGAGAGAGAGAGAGAACATTACAAGGAAACATTTCCTTAAAACAAATACAACTTAAAAATTGATTACTTAAAATCGTGATTTCAGATTTCAGAGTTTGATGCATTGTGTAAATTTTGTTAAGTGTTTTCTAACAATAAATGAAGAGACAAAATCATTTAAAACGCACACAAAAAAGTAAAAAAAAAAATTTAAAAAAAAAATTAAAAATTAATAAATAGAATAATTAAAACAAACAAACAACAAAAAAAAAATAATGATAAAAAAATGAAAAGAAAAAAAAAATCAGACAACACACAAAAAAGGAGACAACACAGAACAAAAATCCACATAAAATCATTTTTTTTTTTTACCCTTCAGTTTCCTAAATTTTAGACTTTACCAAAAATAAATAAATAAATAAATAAATAAAAAAATAAAATAAATGAATAAATAAATAGTTGAGGATAAGATTTTTTTAAAAAATTTTTTTATATATCCGTTCATTTATAGATTTTGGGACAATAAAACGAGAACGAGGGGAAAAAAACTTTTAAAAGCCGTTCTGTTTCAATTGAACTCACCGTAAGCGTACAACGTACTTAAACACATGCATTGCTGTACTTGCAAAGGAAATGAATCTCAACTTTAAGTTTCGCATTGAAATCATACTTACATAATCGAGAACACAACGCCAAAATCCAACTTATTTTAACATTTTCCAAGATGGCTGTACATCAAAATTCCGGAGAGAGAAAGGTTTGTTTTTTTCTGTTACCATGACAATAAACTGTTTCGCAACAACTGCCAAAATGAGGTGCTAAATGACTGTGGACGATTAGAACCGAATCTGTCCGGTGTTTGGGTCGATTGATGCAAATTGCTTCGATAACGTTTACAAATAATTGATAAAATTTATTCATTTGATTTAGCACGATCTATCTAGAGTGCAAGTCATGGACATGGTATTTTTAAAGCTGAATTTTAAGCTTTTCTAACTAAATTTATTTTTTGTGACAATTAGGTAACCAACCCCCAAGTGGTATGAATAGAAAGTTAAACAAATGATCTGATGACTGCTTCCGAACGAAAACTAGGTCTGAGGCAAAGAAAAAACTTTGTGTACTCGTCTGTGTTTTGGTAATGAAAGATCTGAACCACAACAACACGAGACAATTTACCACATTGTAATTGACATATCAGTCCTAAATCCTTGCATCATACAGATATTTTTCCCAAATGAAAGCAAGTGTAAAATTGTTACCATATACATTGTATAATTAATGGTTAAAATCATATAAAAATGAAGATTAAGTTTACATTAATAAATAAACTTTTGTTTAAAAATATATCATTAATGTATGACTATGAATATAACCATACGAGCCAAAATTACCAGTATATATATACCCAAAATACCAAATACCCATATAAGGTCTATAAGATGATATTACCAAATTGACTAAAATGGAAATTGCCTAATCCGAATTTTCTCTATTTTTCTTAAAATTTTAAGATATTTTAGTTATTTTTATATGCTTCCTATATTTAAATTTTTCTTATTTTCACATATGGTAAAGTTGTCACATAAAGATACAAAATGATATAAAAACAAAAGGTTTTGACCGTTTACTAAGAGAGAAAAAACACTTTTTTACGGATGGCTCAAATCTGAACTTAGATTGGAAGCTTTTAAAAGCTAACATAATTGTAGTTTGTGTGGAAAATCATATTTATTCGATATATTTTAAAACTTTAGTCCCTTGTTATTAATTTAACTTACATTTAAAAATTAATTCAAAAAAAAAAAAAAAAAAAAAAAAAAAAAAAAAAAATGGAAAAAAAAAATAGTTCCTGCTAGATTTCAAACTCAGTTTACCATTTCTATCTAAAGTTGTACAATTGTGATGAGGAAAGAAAAATATTATCTTTTAAATCTCTTACATCTAAATATATAAAACATATAAGCAAATATACTTTCAATATTTCATCTAGTTAGAAACCAAACTAGAATCCCTCCATAAAACAAAATATTTTTGGTACACCACTTACAAATAAAGAGAGATGCCAATCCCAAAAGAGTATCTTGCATTTCAAAGGTTTGTATTTGTCGATTTTAATTTGTGCTTGTTTTTTTATGTCATAAACTCAAAACCAATCAGTCCGCGGACGCTAAACATAGAAAAAACTTGGAATGGCCTAAAATGCTTGTTCTCCTACAAATAGCATATTCCTACACTTCAGGAGCATAGAATTTGCTATTTTTAGAGTTTGTTGTCAATTTTTTTCTGTATCTACACGCATAGTTTAATTAAAAATCAAAACAAAAATTGGAGTCAATCTGCTTCCTTTTTGGTGCTACGGTACATTTAATATGACCTTATTGCACTGTAATTCTTGTAAGTCTTTAACATAAAGCATTTTTACGTAGTTTTCCTTTAATGTTTTTCATCTATTAATGTCTGATCAAATACAGTCTCATTCTACCTTGAATAGACACATAAAATTGTGACAAAGAAAAAAGTTTTAAATTGCTTTGCATAATCAATTATTTGAACATATTGCAACCCCCCTCCAAATATGTTTTACTTAAAGCGACACAGTGAAGCAAAAAGGGGAACTGAAAAAATTCCTCCACCTCATTGTACCCGTGGGCAGAAAAGTTGAAGTTACCATGGTCTCAAGTCCAAAAAATGATTATCGGTCCGGTAGACCGAGGATTTTCATATATACATGTACATGTATTCTTCAAAAAAGATCACCAGAACATTTTCTTCACCTTTGTGTGCTCCAGTTCAAAGTTGTTAAAAAGTTTTACGCTAATAATAAAAGTCGCGGTACCTTGACATTGACAATTACAACTAAGATACGGTATAGATACAACCTTTTGTTTTCCCGGCACTTATATTTTGCAGTCTTGCTTTACAATGCAGTTGAGTTTGTCAAAACTTCGCAATAATATATTCAATAATATATTTTTCATTAATCTTTTGCTTTATGATATAAATATCTTGAAATAAACACATGATTTTAATTCAATATGCATATTTAGCAAACAAAAAGATTATTTGTGAGATTTTACTGAATTCAAACAGAATGGGCAGTGTTATCTTACACATTCAGAAAGGAAAATTAAGAATGAATGTCCAAGATGTAAGCTTTTCGATATAAATAAAAAAGGTTAATCTAAACCTAAAATTAGGGTTATTTTTCTGGACTTTCACAATATAGTTGCTATATTAGTCAGATTATGATAATAGAATTCGAAATAGTTAATATGCATGTTTAAATCGGGACCAATAGAAACTATCTCATTGTACATAATAACTCTGTGTGCAGCCTGCATGGAAAAATAGAAATCCAAACTTAACCTACTATAAATACTTTGATTGATTGATTGTATGTTGTTTAACGTCCCTCTCGAGAATTTTTCACTCATATGGAGACGCCACCATTTGCCGGTGGAGAGCTGCGAATTTTGTCCTATACTCGGCACTTACGGCCATTGAGCAGTAAGGGATCTTTTTCGTGCCAGCACCTACTGCGACACGGGACCTCGGTTTATACGGTCTCATCCGAAGGACCGGTCTCCACGTCCCACAGTGAGATTCGAACCCGCGACGTAAGGATCAACTCCTTACTTCGCGACTCTAGAGCAGACGCTCTAACCACTGCGCCACGCGGCGACTAAATACTTTGAAAAATAAAAATGGATCATTTTCTTCTATGAAAATATTTCCTCCTAAAATAAAGTTCCTTACTTAAGGTGGCCGACTTGGGGTTTTATGGCACAATGCTTCATGCAACATAGTAAAATCAAGCTTATTCACACTTTTAAAGCAACTATTTTCACAAAATTTTTCAAATCAAAAAAAGAAAAAAAAAATTAAAAGATCATAAGAAAATCTTATAACAATTTTAAAAAAAACCCTGATTTTTAACAATTTTTCAACTGATAGGAAGATGGACGTCGTAATAATGTGCTTGTGACGTTATGATAAAATGAAGTTCTTTAACGGGGGGGGGGGGGGTTCATAAAAATGTTATTAAAGAAAGAGTATAAAACATATGCTCTTGAAATTTCAAACACAGGAATTTGAAAATCTCAAAATCATTTCTTGATATTTTCGTATGAATCATTAACATCTGTCATTTAATTTAATTTATATTCGGTAATTTAAAACTTTTTTCTTGTTCACAATTTTAATATGTACATTCAAGACTGTACTTGGCCTTATGATTTTAATGGATGAAAAATATTTGAGGAAATCCAATGTTCACTATAGTATACTATTGTTAACTATAGTGAAACAATTAAAACTATAGTTAATTTTAGTGATAATTTTGACACTTTGATTTAGTACAATGATAACTTTGAAAACTTTGATTTATTATAGTGGTCACTATAACACTATAATTGTAAAGAAACTTTGATTTACTATAGTGATCACTATGACACTATAGTTGTAACAACAATTTGATTAACTATACTGATTACTTTGACACTATAGTGATAATTTTGATAACTTTTGAAATACTATAGTTAATACAATGAAAACTTTGACCTATAGTTATCACTCAAATGTACTTGATATATTTTCATATACATGTATATAAGTTGACGACTTGGACGACACACTTAAGTTATGCAGAGCAGCAAATTGATGTTATTGCCCTACATCAAAGATTGAAATCGGCTATACAAGGAAAAAAGTAGCATACGTTGAACTTCCTTTCATTATATTAAAGTAGCAAGCTCTACAAGAAATAGAAACAGACGGAAATAGTCCCTACACAAAAGCATGACCTATTTTAAAGAAAAAAAAAGAAATTCCTACTAACTCTTCAAAATGTTTTCACTGCACAAATATGCTATTGCAAGCAATATCATGTCCCGAGCTGATCCAAAGGTTGCATTATTGGAGTTGGAGGCAGAGTAAGCAAATGCAAATAAATATAGCACAAGAAATCGCAAGACGGCGTACCTGAACAATGTCAATACACAACTGCCAAGTGACAAACTTTTTTATCTTCCCAAAAGAAAGAGGAAACTGTTACCAGTTTACTCCCTCGTTCTTTTCATGATAGCCCATCGATTTCATTTTTTTTTTGGTAGAAAACACTTTGACAGATGCTATGAACAATCCTTTAAAGTTTAAAAATGACAAAAAGGTAAGGATAACGAAGAGTGATTGATCTAAAGAAAAAACCAAGAAACAGGAGCAGTTACTGAGAAAAATGAAATTTAAAACATGCATATCTCATCTGCTTCCATGGAAACGGTGGCAATTTTGAAAATTTCACATGTAAATGGAACATATAGAGCTGGTGATTATCATCTCTGTGAAGTTTCATTAGGATTCTCCCAGCCATTTGCGAGAACATTTGCGGACAAAATTTTAGGTCTAGCAATAACAATAGGTCACCTGACGTCGTTTGTTTCACGAAATTAAACACGATAGAAATGCAGCTTGAATTTTTGCAGCAAAGAAAAAGAAAAAAAAAGAAAGAAAGAAAACTATGTCTATAAGACACTTCAAAAATAAGTAGAAAAGATAAACTAAAAAGGAGATCTCACAAGACAATTCTCAAAGAAATAGAGGTATTCTGAACAGTTGGATAGAATTCCCAAGAAGGGAAATGTCTCAATCTTCTATAACTCTATCATACCTAGAATCTGGTCAATAATGGGAAGAAGGTAGTAACATTATCCAGAGTCTCAAAAACGAACAGGTGTTGGACACCTTACCTTTCGGAGGGATAAAATTCCCTGTGGAGGAGAACGTGAATATTCCTGATGATTGGAGTTGGGTACTTGTCAAACTATCAGAAAAGAGGTACATCAATTTGTGACAACTGGGACGCACCACTGCTTCAAAGGATAAATGCAGTCTGGGACCAAAAATGCTGGCTTTGGACAAGAATGTTTATGTGTAAACGGTTTGATTTTAACATGCTATTCAAAAAGGATCTGGAGTATTCCATCAGATTTCAGATCAATAAAGAATTCTATAAAGGATTCACACATACATAATGTAAATTGATCCATGTAGAACCTGGAAAGCATCCTTCCCTGCTAATTTTAGAAAAGAATAACATCGTCCATTCCGACCTTCCTTGCAAAGATATGTTTAATGTAAATCATATACGGTACCAATTTTGATGCACCAGATTATGTCTCTTCAGTGATGCTCATTCCGAGACGTTGGAAATCCAAAATATTTAAAAAAAAAAAAAAAGGCTGAAGGGCTGAAAAGGATGCCCAAAACTGGAGCCAAATATGTCATAGGATCGGAGCTATGCATGAGGGAGATAATCGTTAATTTTGACATAAATTTCTAAAATTTACTACAGCAATTATTATATCCCATATTTTCAAGCTATTACCGATGTACTTAGCTACTGGGCTATATATTAACCCATGAGGAAAATATTGTACATTGCGTCAGGGGATTGAAGAGATTGCCTCTTATGAGAGCATTTGTCGCTTTTCTTATTGCTATCAGGATAGTCAACAACACGTCAGCACAGAAGACACGCAAATGAATTCTGTAAAACGAAATTCAGCACCTAAATTTGGAAAGAAGCTAAAAATAGAGAAAAAAAAGATATTGAAGAACACTCTTTTACCTAAATAAAATGTGTAGTTACATGTAGCTCTTCAAAGAAAACATTAAGGCTGGCAAAAGGAAAACAATGCAATGCTTTCCTAATATATATTTAACCAATGTGGAGAGGTAGAGCATGACTAGCACAACAGTCTGAACCCTGAACGCTAATCAAGGTGAAGTAGTTGCTGCTTCTTTATGGGTCACAGACCTTGAGAAATACGTTTTTCTAACGTAAAAATTATCCATGTTTATATGTTACATTGTATCACTCTCTGAAAAAAACTTTAGTGTAAGATAGCCAAATACCATCAGCAACTCCAAGTTGTGGCAGAGATCAATGCAAAGTCATAGCTTTATACATCCCGAATTTTCAATCAATAGATAATAAGAACAGACAGAAATGAAGACATCAAAATCAACATGGAGAGAAAAGGCAAGGGAAATCCAGTGTAGAGAAATTAACATATGTATCTTAGAGCAATAGGAAGCGACATTAAATAGTGCCAAGGACTCGCAATTATTGGATGTCTCTTCAACGCCCTTGGTCCCTTTTATATGCAGAAGTGTAAGTCATTAAACAAGACATCTACTCAAGTATGAACATTCGAAATTACAAAACAACAGCCTTGGATAGGTTTCATTTGTTTATTTTAATCAAATTACAAAAACAAAGAGAAGGATTTATATTTACAAACCCCTCTGTGTTGTATTATTCTTTTCTTCCAATTTCTTTAAATTGCTATTTTCTTTTATAATAAAATAGTATTTAAGGTTAAGAAACCAATAAAGTAAATTATACCAGAGTAAAAGTTCCGTGGAAACCAAGCAACTGATTAAGCAAAAATACTTAAATTTGAAATTGGACGTTGTTTGATTTTTAAAACAGACATTTCATGTACATTTACATGCACTGTCATTTTGTTGATAAAAGGAATTCGTGGACGAATAGCCTACTACGCTGAAATACGTGTACTACATGTAGTAAGCAGATCGGTCACGATTACCCTTACGTGGTACATGTTTATAATAGATCAATGTGTACAACAATACAATGATCTAGTAAACGTACACTTTATCAATCAACAATTTCTTTGTTAACTAACACAAATGCTAGAACAAATTTTATAAATGCTAAAACATGTAAAATAAAATTTAAATCAGTGTTAAAAGAATCAAACACAAATAGCATTTTACACATATTAATGAAGCATCTTAGAAAAATGCACCCATTTTCACTTGTTTTCTTCTTTTTCTCCGTTTTCCTCCGTTAGTTGGAAGGTATTTGGCAAAACACGAGCAACTTTGTCAAGTTTCTCAGAAATAAGCGCCCTCAAGCCTGTTTTCTCTTTCTCTGTTTTCTCTTCAGTTTTTATTGAAGACTCATGTGGCGTATTTCCATGCTGTTGCGAATAATTCAAGGTCACAGCAGCCTGACGACCCGGAAGTGGTAGAGAAAGAGCAGAACGCAGGTGCGGATCCGTGAATTGAGTAATCTCCCCAGGTAGTTCTTCTATCGGTGCATCAACCTCGTCGGCGGATTCCGAGTCAGTGAGATGGAAGGATCCGCCTTCCTCGGACTTTTTCTTTCCAATCAGCCAATATGTTACCATCTCTCCTTTACCCTGAAATTTCCATATTCTACCTAATTAAAAAACAGGAGTCTATGCATTTGTGAAAAAGAAAGTAGATTTTTTTGGTTGCGTTTTTCTTACCTTGACAAGAACCGTTCCTCTTTTTCTGACAACGAATCCCCCAATCTTATGGAGAGCTGTGTATGTAGACTGGCTTATGTTGATTCTGTTTGCTGTCAATGCAACAAAAAAATGAATATTTCCGTTGGACAAACAGTCATTCAAGAAATTTCAATTATCAAGAGTCTTAAAGAGGCTAATGAAAAATGTTTTTGGACTTTTGGAAAATGATTTCATATAAAAACGTACATAAAAAGTCATCTAGTTAGTTTTCAATACAGGGTACAAGTAATATTTTCCCAGTGAAAATGTTCAAAGAAAATTGAAGTATTAGTAAATAGAAACCACTGTTGTTTACTTACACCGGGAATTTACGTACAGTGTACAAATGATGTATTCAGTTACTTTATCTTGGTCTAATATGATGGAAAGCGTAATTTAATCTTTCACAGTTGTGTCATACATTGTATATTTCTTTTAATATACTTCTAAAGGCAAATCACTCTAACTGCATAAAACTACTATAAAAATACTACCCTTCAGTGTTTATAACCTCCTTAAGAACCCTAACTTACGTAAGCTGATTGACTTCATTCTAGAAGCTGTGTTCACGGTATCACCAAACAAACAATAACGTGGCAAGATGGAACCCACTATACCTGCCATACATGGACCTAGGACAGAAATAAATTTTGATTATAAAAGAAATAGAATTTTATCATGAAAGTCTCCATTTCATTCATAAAAGTCTCCAAACTGATGAATATATGTGCTTCCAGGAAGCATCACTGGTTTTCTTAATACTAACCCGAGTTCACTCCAATTCTCAGTTCTATCCTTCTATCGCCAAGAATTGTAAACTGCTTGTGCTTTGTTAGAGCCAGAAGATCTAAAGCAAATGTTGCAATTTCTCCGGCATGTTTGTCCTTATTCCGATTTGGCAAACCTGAGGAAAAGAATCTCAAAATACATAATGATTGTACCAACTGAAAACACACATTTTCAATGTGTTCGAAAAACAAATCTGAAAGTACCTGAGGCAACCATATAACAGTCGTTAATTGTCTCCACTTTGTAAACGTCATAGTCGTCTAAAAGGTCGTCGATGGTAACGTAAATCGTGTTGAGGAGCTGTACGATATCCATCGGTGATGAAGTGGTGGATATGGAGGCAAATCCACAAATGTCGGAGAAGAATATTGTCACTGATTTAAAATACTCGGCATCAATATGAACGCACTTTTTTAATTTGTCGGCTACCTGTTTAGGAACCATCTGATAAAGTAATGAGTCTGTCACTTTTTTCTCCAAACTCAGTTCTTTTGTTTTGTCCACAAGGGTTAAGGCGTACTTCTGAATGACACTAGTCAAGTTTTCTGTGACGAAGATAATCAGTGGACACATTAGGATAACCACCACGAGAAATATTGCACTTACTGCCAAGTCCCTTGTAGCGTTCTCTAAGACACTGTCCAACACAAACAGAATCTCGTTACCCAGGTCCTGCTGAATGTCCAGCAAGGTATCGAGATACAACGTCATATTGTCAAACCACCATCTTGCTTTTGCCAAATTTGCCTGTGTATTGTTGATACCTTGGACGTGTTGTTGAATCTCGAATCTGTAGCTGTCGATGATTTCGGTGACATTATTGCCCGCGGAGGCTACGTTCACAGTGTAGAGATCAACAACACGTTTGGAATACCTTCTCGCCGTTTTGTAATATGCTCGAAAATTGTGTACTCTGTTATTGTACATTTCGAAATATGCGTGATTTTCGAATCCTCCATTTGCGTAATACACCGTACCTAAAGCTCTCTCAACACCCACCGCCTCCTTGGCGCTGGTTAGTTTCTGATAAGCTACCAATGTCTTCCATACCAATGCAAATTTGGACTCGTTGATGGAATTGTACATCCAAATGATGACTACTTCAATGATACTTGAGTAAAATTCTATTTCATCTTGAAGGCTGTACCTAGTGGGACTCAAAACCTGCCGACGACGAGAAAGATACTGTTGTAAATTTTCCCGAGTGTCGAATTTTTCTCTTTCCAGTTCGTCGAGGTTTCCGGGCCACCTTGAAAGTTTGCTTATGGCTTGGTCAGTCTCGATGTACTCGGCCAGTAAGAATGTCCTTGTTTGTGGACCCAGGGCACTGAGGTATAGCACGCTCATGTCACGTTCTTTCTGTAGATGGTGGACCAACTTACCCAGCTCGACGCTGAACTCCAAAGCACTTCTTGTCTGTTTTAGAAGATAATAATTCTTTTCATGAACAAATACCTATTAGCTTACCGTCACTATGAATTATTCTGTTTCCAAAAAAGATTTAAATAAAGGAAATCGGTAGAAGTTTCAAAACTTATTGATGTAGAGAAATAACTTGCCGACTCGTTCTCGTTTTTGGCCTCAATAATGTCTGCCAGGGTGTATACTGTATAAGCCCAGAGTCCTAGGATAGGCAACACGGTAAGACACAACATCTTAATTAACTGGAGCTTCTTACCAGAGTCCGTCAGCGGCTCGTCACGGCAAATTCCTGCCAGGAAAATTAATACTTTTTTTACTCGAACCTTCCAGACGTCATATCAAACCTTCCGTTTACTTCTGAGTTACGTTGTGTGCAGAAGAATAAATTAAGATTCTGTCATGTTGTAAATTTTGAATTTTCCGGATGGCAGTGAATACAAAATTTACGTGACAGTTCATATCAGATATATTTCTAGAAATAAACTAACAGTTCCAATACGTAACTAATATAAAACACAGAACGAGTGTACATACCTCGACCAATGATTGAAGGCTGTGTGACCTCCAAAACTTCCCCAATGTTGATGGAACTGGCCAGAGATTTGACATCACAGGGTAAGGTTTTCTGTTTCTCGTGGGTCTGTTTAGTGAACACAGAAAATAATCACATCTTTTAATGAAAAAGGTATAGATATCGAACAGTGATCGATCTCCAAATATCTACAAACAATACATATATGTGAACAGGAAATAAAACATGGACCCTCGGAAATTCCAGAGGTGGGATCAGGTACCTTGGAGGAATAAGCGTCCCCTATTCTATTAATTATCTACAAGACAATATGGTTCTTTGATGGAATTAAAGAAAAGAAAATGTAATTGGGGTCACTTTGCTAAACATTTTAGTGAAAAAGATTTAGATAGTTACTTACTCTATTTGCTTTTATCTTATCGATAATTCTATACATTATGAGGCCGAATCTTCTCTAGCGCCCAATCTGAAGCAAAATTATAATTATTTTCTCACAAAACATAACGGATTTACTAGTACTACATAGACAAATACATGTAAGCTAATGATATACATGTAAACTATATTTGATTCTTCCAAATGATTGAATTAAATAAAATATTTTAAATTAATAAATGTAAAATAATAGCAAACTTACCTTATACATTTGTTAAAAAAGGAATAAAAGCTCAGAATATAAATTGTTCGAGAGAGATCAACAAAAATGTGGAGCCATGACAATACACGATAATAATTAGGCGCAAATGAGCGGTATTAGCGTCATCTTAGCGCCCCATTACCGACCTTAAAAAAATCTGTTGTCAGGTGTTTGTCCGCAAACAAAAGTCGATATAGAGTACTGTTACCGATTGATTTACATTATTTGTGATAATGTAATAATAATTTTAAAAAGAATTTAGCATTTCTTTTATTTTAGATATCTTGTTGTATTTTCAAATTAAAAAATAAAAAATTAAACTGTCTGGGGACTTCTTAGAAATATCATCCTTTTCTACTGACTTTATAATGAAATGTTTCCAGTAGTTTCCAGTATTCATTTGCCGTTTACAAAGTTAGGAGTCTACAAACTATTCCATACCAGTCTGGATGAGATGCATATCATGTCCCATTACCGGCTTCATTAAACGTACGTAATTTAAACATAATTGGACGATCAAACAAAAAAAAGATTAAGGAAAATTTGTAGACAGACGGACGGACGGACAAACAGACAATTTTATTTTCCTAATTTCAGTAGCACTCCATTCTTTATCTTCTTAGAATTTTCGGTTTTTTTTAGTAATTTATTTGTGATGACCAACTGAGTTTTGTCCCTTAAAGTTTTTGTGTGAATATATTTAAGGATGGAATAATATGAACTTCTTAATTCATAAAATTTTCTGCTCCGAAGGTCATTATACGTACAATGAATTAAAAATATAATCTTTTTTTCAAAATGTTAAATATAAGTTAATTTATTTACCCTTACTAATTCAGTTTTATCTACCCAATGATATAGAGTCTGGCGATTAAGAAATCAAAATTTCAAAATCAAATTAATGAAAAGATATTGGTAGAATTCACGGAATGCCAAAAAGATAATTTTAAAATATTTGCCCCTGTTTTTATAAAAATTTCCTATCTTCAAATAATTGAAGTGATTTAACTCAAAATGAACTGAAGATATGTATAAATGATTTCGACATAGGTTCAAATGAATTACACCTAACTGTAATTGAATTACACCTGTTTTAGTTTAATTACAGATAGATTCAGTTGAGAAATATCTATCTTTAAATTATTTGAAAACAAGCACAACTGAGTATGGATAAATACTGTAATGATAAGTGAAAATTTAAAACGCAAAGAAGACCCAGATGTAGGGTTAGAATGGAATAACCTGTTCTCCCTTAAAGTAGACTAGTCTAAAGGGTATACAATAGACCGCATTGAGGGATTCAGGGTGTTTTGAATGCAGAGCGTCTGCTAAGCTAGAAAAAATTAGGAAAGAATAACGAATAAGAGAAAGGGTAAAAAAAAAAAAGGATTGCACTGGTGACAAGAATCCCGGGGAATTGAGGCGAGATACTGGGGGTGTAGATCTGAATAAGAACGAAACACCTAGTATCCGCTATCAATAGGAACCTGGGACAAGGTAGACGGTGCCAAGCCCAAGAGTTACCCAGTTAAAAATAATAGAAAAACCCAGATAGGTTTAGGAAAATTATAATACTCTACATAGTTAAATGCTTGATTATAAACTCAGGTAGAGTAAGAGAAAAATCATCCCTAGAGAACCCAACGCATGGGTACACGTTGCAATAATTCAATTAAAGATATGTACAATTAAACATCTTCATAATGGATTTGAAGATAGGTACAAATGAATTATTCCAAGGTTCAATCTTTGAATCAATTATGCATATCTTTAATTCTAGGTATCTATACATAAATATAAATTAATAATTAAATAATTAAAAGTTAAATAAATAAATTAGCCGTTATTCATATTGCAGAAAAGGTCTCTGTAATTCTATTATATATGTAACAATTTTCAAATCAATTGTATACATCTAACCTCAAATGAATTTTAGATACGTATGCATAATTGAATCAAACATATTTTCAAATATTCAAATTTCTTTGTCCAAGAGAAAGCTATAAGGAAATATGTAGATAACGAATGTACGTAGAAAATGCTCTTGCATATCGAATCAACAGAAAGACATTAAACCCATATGCAGGTGATAAGGGTATATTGCTACATAAATAAGGGAAGTTTAAGATTGAAAGTTGAAGTCATCACGTCTATCATAAAGCTTGGTTGTTACGTTGCCATTAACGTCTTTTTCTATAGTAAAAATATCCAAATATATGAAAGAGATGTGTTAGACTCTATTGTATCTTTTTTATTTCTAGCTTAATGGGAGACATTGAGTCGACATACGAATGGAAGTAGCTATTGTTCATTGATAATAAGTCGTCGATATATCTAAATGTCGAGTTGAAGGCCACAGCAAGTGATTTCTTTTTCTAATTTATAAGATTTTGAATAAATTCTGCTATTTTACGTACTAAACCATAAAAAATAAAGATTTCCTTATATAGCTTTTGGCTCATCGAAAGGCGTGGTTTAAAAATCACGTGGAGAGAGAGAGAGAGAGAGAGAGAGAGAGAGAGAGAGAGAGAGAGAAGTTGGCGGAGCTTGGAGAACGTGATTTATGGAATCATGTAAATATAAGGAATAGTTGTCTTGGTGTTTATTTTTGTTTTTTTGTTTTTTGTTTTGTTTTTGTTTGTTTTTATGATGATGATCAAGCTATTGGCTTGTGTGATAATTTTATGCCTTAGGCGTTTATGAAAATTATCACACAAGATAATTGCTTGATCACGTCATAAAAAAATTAAACAGTTATTCCTCAATTTTATTGAGGATAGGTACAACTGATTTGAAGAAAGACACAATCATAAATTATGTTAATTTGGCTTTCATGCGCCAAATGTACAAATATGCAAATATTTGCACCTATTTTCAAATCAATTATGTTACTGAATTAAAGATTGGTTTAATTAAAGAATAAATAGGTGTTGTTAATTATACCTATTTTTAAAGTTCAAGATAGGAATAAATCAATTATACCTACACATGTAGGTTCAATTACACCTATCTTTAACTCAACTTTACCTATCTTTAATTCTTCTTCAATACGCAAAAGCATTGCATGCACTGAGTACGAGCGATTTTTAAAAGTGACACTGTGACGGACAAACGGGAAAATTGACAACAGTAGAATTTTTGCATGACACATGCAAATTTTGTTCAGTTCTTGAAGATATTAGGTTTCAGAAAATTACAGTTTTCAGAAATCTAATTTAATGGAGAAAAAGAAGTAAAAAAAATCTTTGTATAACCCATCACAAAAAATATTGCTTCACTTCTTCCTCTTTATTGTACGCATGCGCTGAAAAGTTGAAGAATTTACCATGGTTTCAGTTCCATAGATATAAATGTCGGATGACTGAGAATTTTGATACAATCTTAAAAAAAGATGATCATAACTTATTCATTACTTCTGCTTGCCCCAATTCAATGTTGTTTACTAGTTTCACGCTAAAAATAAAGGACGCGTGACCTTGACATTGTTTACATTGACGATAAAAACAAAGCGATAGATACATTTGTTTTTCCGGCACTTATATTTTGCAGTTTTTTCTTGCTATACAGTGCAGTTGAGTTGTCAAAACTTTGCTATATTTTTATTTCACAGAAATCTTTTGTTTTGTGATACAATTTTCTTTAAAAAAAAAACACATATTTTGACTCATTATGCAACTTTAAACCAATGAAAGCTATATTGACAATAAGTTGATGTTACAAGGATTTCAACCGAACCGTTCAAGGTCAGTATTATGCGAAATCTGCGGTTGTTATAATGACCTTGGTTGTAAAATTAATTAATGGATCGTATTTTATCTGACATGCTTCATACAATTTGTGAGCTCATTGCTTTTATACTAAATTTGACTATGGAGTACTTCGTCTACTTGATTTACAGCAGTGAAGGAGAAACTTCAGGAGAACTGTGCAGCAGTACATCTATATTTGAGAATTGGTGTAAATCAGATGTGGATACTTAGAAACTCCAAGGAAGTTTTAAAAAAATTGAAATAATAAAATTTTAACAAAATCATGAACATCTAAACGTACTACTTTTCAACTTTTTAAATTAAAGTCCAAGCTTTTTGAAATCATAGACAGCTGCTTTTTCAATAAAAATGGTACTGATAAATATACCTACCTTGTCATTGGTCATTTGCAAAATTATTTTGTTAAAAAGCATTCTGATTGTACACACATGTACTCTGAAGTTGATATTAAAAAGATGCTTGAGTTTCTGATTGACAATATGTAGTTTTTGGAGATCAGATCTTTCAACAATCTGTTGGAATTCCCATGGGTACCAATTGCACCTCCTTGTTACATGTAGCAGACCTATATTTTATTTTCATATGAAGCAGAATTTTTTCAAAAACTTCTTCATGAGAAAGTCGCCCGCGTGGCGCAGTGATTAGAAGGTCTGCTCTAGAGCTGCGGAGTAAGGAGCTGATCCTTACTCGGAATCCACTGAGGGACATGGAGACCAGTCCTTCGGATGAGACCGTATAAACCGAGGTCTCGTGTCGCAGTAGGTGTTGGCACGAAAAAGATCCCTCATTGCTCAATGGCCCTGAGTGCCGAGTATAGGTATAAAAATGCAGCTCTCCATCGGCAAGTTCCATATGAGGGAACAATTCTCTAGAGGGACGTTAAACAACAAAACAAACAAACAAACGAATCTACACGAGAAGAAAAAAAAAACACTTGCTGTGGCAATCAACTCGACTTTTATATACATCGACGACGTATTATCAATTAACAATAGTTACTTCCATTTATATGTCGACTCAATGTATCCCAGTGAGCTTGAAATAAGATACCACAGAGTCT